GAAGACCGAAAAGAAGCGCCTGGCTCCTGGCTCCTGGCTCCTGGCTCCTGGCTCCTGGCTCCTGGCTCCAGCCTGAACCAGCCCTGGCTGTTGGTAAGTGATTCAGAGATGGACGGTCTCTCTCTTTCTCTCACTCTCTCCCATGCCAGGTCACTCTGCCTTTCACATAAGAAATTACATTTAAAACATCACGAGAGGTGGGTGTCCGGTACAGCTGGCCTGGGAGGCAGCAGGCGGCAGCAGGTGGTCCCAGCCCCCACAAGGAAGACACAGCCTTGCCACTGCAGGCACCTGGGCAGCAGCCATTGAAGAAGTGTGTGTGTGTGTGTGTGTGTGTGTGTGTGTGTGTGTGTGTGGAAGAGAGAGAGAGAGAGAAAATAAAAATATATAACTTTGCAAAGATCATAGACTGCGTTGAGGGAAACCTGCACAGCTTTAAACAATCCACAGCAAAATGAGCCATTATTTCTTTCTCCAGGGCCAGCAGCACCAGGCCACCCCTCCCTCAGCTGCTGCAGACAGCCCTGCGTAGACCAAGCACTGTTACCAAACCAATTGCAAATACCTGTCTCCATCCAGCGCAGGGCACATCACCAAACACAGACAGGATGCAGGGGACGGCTCTGGGGACCATCCTGTCAGCCAGCCTGGTCTGGCCTGCTGCGGGTCCAAGAGCCCCCTCCGGTTCTGGGCCGGGCCGACGCTGACCTCAGCGGGCCCTGAGGAAGAGGGAGAGTAGCTCCCAGCCTTCCTCCCCTGGCTGGGTCTGTAGGGCTCCTGCCCAAGTCCAGGCCAGGCCTCGATCCCCTTTGGGTCTCTCCCAGAGGCCAGCAGAGCCCAGCTGTGGACAAGCCCCTCCCAGGCAGCCTGTCAGTTTGTTCCACTCACCCCTACATGCCCACATCCTGAGACCCACACCAACATTTTTGGGCCTTGCTGGAGGAAGAGACGACCCACCAGGGAAAGAATCTAGAACTCCCTGGCCTAAGGGGCAGACCTGAGCCTCAGCCTTCCCCCACCCAGCTCGCAGCCTTGTGCCTTGGGGACCTGAAGGCGATCCGACCTTCAACCAGCCATACTCTCACCTGGAGGGGCTCAGGCGAGTCCCGCGGACAGCCCCCACTGTCTCAGGGCCTACTCTGTGCCCAGGCTGTCCCGGTGGGGCAGGGGAGAAGCCCTAGGGGGCAGAGCCCACCGATGCCAGCCCCGGAGCACCCCTGCAGGCTGCAAGGGCCTGCACCCCAAGACGCCCCTCCTCCCAGACTGCACCCCAGCACCCCACGCGGGGCCGGGCAGAGGGGAAAGTTGGCAGGTGCGCGGCGCCCGCGGGAGGAAGTGTTAATGGGCGGCCGGGTGGGAGCAGCGCGCTTGCTCGCCCACGTCACGCCGGTGCGGGCTCGGCTGACGACCGCGGCGCCTGGGGACGCCGGCGCGCTCCGCTCGCCAGGTGCTCCGCCTGGAAATGTCTCCATTAGTTGTCGCCTGCTCCCCGCCGGAGCGCGCGCGCCGAGCCGCCCCGCAGAGCCCTCGCCCGCGGCCGGGAGCAGCCGGGCGCCACCGCAGGTAGGCGAGGTCCCGCGCCCGCCCCGGGGCTCCGAGACCCCTCCCTCCTCCGAGGAGGCGGAGGCTCCACGGCAAGGGGCGCGGGCGGCGGCGACTCCCGGTGCGTCCGGGGCTGCTGGCTGCTCCCCGCGGCCTGGGCGCCCACGCGGCGCGGGTGGGCGCTTCCCCAGCGCAGGTAGGGAGTGTGCTGTGCCGCACAAACTTTGCTAGGATCGCTTCTGTGCCGGAGGGCACAAAGTTTGCCGGCCGCCGTTGAGGTCTCTGGAGGGCACTGCGTTTCGCTGCAAGTTGCTGGGAGCAGGGTGTGGGGATTGGCGCGGGGTGGTGGGGCCTGCTCTCCGCTTGCCCTGACAGCGGCAAGGTCCAGCCTGGCGCAGCGCGGGGCGGGGGGCAGGGCGCAGCGGGAGAGCAGAAGGGAGGGCCAAGAGGGTAGGGTGTTCTGGGAGCACGGGACTCAAACTTGTGACCCTGCGGCTCGCCCACACACCCCGGGTTTGGAGGGGACCCCGGATACGTTCTGCCAACAGAACGACTTCCTAACCCCCAGTTTCGCCCAGCGGAACCCGTCCGGACTCCGCACGTCGGCCGGGTGTCCGCGGGCGCTGAACGGCTCAACCCCCGCCTCGGAAAAGCGGCCCTCCCTGGCCTTCGCTTTGCGCTGGAGCCAACTTTCCGAGCCGGGAAGGGAGAAAGCCACGGCCCCAGCCATCTCTCCAGGAGCGGTAGAGCCCCGCTAGTCCTGGAAAGGTCGGGCCAAACCTGCCTCCCAGCCTCAAATCGCCCTCCTTGGCCCCCTCCCGGCCCGCGAGCCCCTCCCGGCGGACGCCCAGCTCCCTTAGCGCCGGCCATGGCCCTGGCTCCGCGCGCCCTGCTCCGCGCAAGGCCCAGCCTCAGCCGCATTCGTGGGAAGGCGCGGAACTGCCGCCGCCCTGCTGACGGGCGTATTTAGAAGTGGTGGTCCCTCGGGGTCCCGGCCCCGTACGCCGCGCATACGCAGGTTGGTGATTCCTGCGGTGGCTTCAGCCACTCCTGCAGTGGAAGCCGGGCTCCTCGGCCCAGGCCTTGGCCTTCTAGAAGAGCTCCCGGGCAGGAGCTCCGGTGCTACCCAGGGGACGAAACAGGCCCAGGGCGCGGCCCAGACTCGCGCAGGTTGTCAGCAGGGTGCCCTCGGGTATGCACACCTGCTGAAGCCAGGTCCTGGTGGCCCTGTGTCCGGAGGTGAGGCACGGACGGATCAGGAGGCCCCACCTCCGGGGGGCTGCACACCTCCCCAACCAGGGTGGCCTGCACAGCCTGGACGCTCAGTGTGTGACGGCCAAGCGAAGTAGAGGCCATGAACTGATTTCTAGGTCCAGGAGAAAGAGCCGCCCAAGACAACCCCGGGTGGGGCTCGCAGGGACTGGAGCATCTGTCTGGGCACAGCAGGTGCCAAGCGCGCACTCCAGCGCTATGCAGGGCTGCTGGAGGAAGCCCCACACACCACTCTCGCAGAGGCCCCCACCGACCTGGCGGCTGCGAACTGGAACTGCGCGTGCCCGACCCCAGCGTGAGCGCGCCGGCTGAAGAGGCACCGCCGCGTGCTCAGGCCACAGTCCCCGCGCGGGGAGGGGCGGGGAGGGCGACCCTGGGCCCTGGCCTCCCTGCGTCCCCGCCCCTCCCCGGGAGGAAACGAGTTGTTTGTAAACAATCAAGAATGCGAAATGGGACAGGGGTTAGGCCTGAGCAAACGCAGCAGCCCTGGGAGGAGCGGGGAGGGGAGAGGGGAGGGGAGCGACGGCCTGCCGCGCGGGAAAGGGAGCGAGATTGAGATGCGTTCGCAGCCAGAAGCCCGGTGGCTACTTTCTTATTATTTACAGGAAAGCGATATTAGCCACCCGGGTGAGGGAGAAATAAACACGGCCCGCCAGAGATCAATACGGAATTCAGAAACTGATGAACGCCGCTCGGCTCGCGTTGGCCGAGTGTGTCTCTCGGCCGCCCGCCGCCGCCGACGCTAACCTGTCTGGATCCTTTGCGAGGAGCGGCTGTTCATTATTCCCGAAGCCTCCCACCCCGCACAGCACGCCGCGCGGACGACGAGGCAGGCTGCGGTCCAGCGCGAGCGCACAACTCGGATTTCCATCTGTAAATTAAAGCAATTACGCAGCAGATATTATATGATGTGTACCACGGGCTCCGGATAGTCATCAATCACTTTGCACCGAGCTGTCAGAGCTGGCGGGCGGCGTTTCTGGGAGCAGCCTGGAGGCTGGGGTGGAGGGGGGCTGCGGGCGGGAACGCCCTCCTTAATGCCAGGGTGACCCCGGGGCGCCCAGGAATCTCTTCTGAGCAAGTCGGCACAGCGCCGCCCGCCACGGCTGCGCGCGGGAGCCAGGCCCGGCGGCTGCACCGGCCGCGAGGGGCGAGCCCGGGCCCCCGGAGGGGCGGCGGCGCCAGCCACGCACGGGCAGTTCGGGGTGGCCTGGGCGCCCTCTTGCTGCCTGCGTGCTCTGGCCGCTGCTCCGACCTCGGGCAAGGTCTCAGGGCGCCTCCCGCCGGGACAATCGCGGTCCCCTGCCCGGGCCTCCAGGGCACCCCAGGCGGAGTCGGATACGGCAGCGCGCCTGGCGCGGCACCCAACGCCCCCTCCCCCCGCGGCCAGCCCCGGCCAGCAGGAGGGGCCCCGGGCCGAGTTGGAAAACCTGCTCTTCTGAGCACCGGGACGTCTGGCGGTGCCTGCGGGGAGAAAGGGGGGGGCTCTGCGCCAAGTAGGGCACTTGTGGGCTCCCTTCCCTTCGGGGTCGGGCAGGAGCCGACCGGAGGTGCGGCCGATCCTGGCAAACAATGGCGAGGGCACGCGCGCGGGGCTAATTTTAACCACGGACGACTCCTCGGCGAGGCTGTCGCGTGTCCCCTCACAGGTCTCATTTGTAATTGAGACGAATGATTACAGCAGGGCGGGCGGGAGCAGCTGCTCGTTAATTAATTTCTAATTAAAAGTGCTTTGGTCCCCGGTGGCTGCGGAGTGCCCCGTGCGTCCGCGCCATCTCCTCCACGGGCGGGACTCGGCCCGGGAAAGCCCGAGTGACCGCGCCCGGGCTGGGCTGACGTCAGAGCTGCGGCCTCCGTCTGGAGTACGCGCGCCGCCTTCCCCACCTCGCTTTTTTTTTTTTTTTCCCTTCCTTTCCCCAAAAATATGTTTCTGTCGCCGCGGTGAGACTGCTGGGTCCCGGCGCTCCCTGAAACTCCGGGTTGGGAAACAAAAAAAGGGAGGGGAGAGATAGGGGAGCAGAAATTGCTTCGGTAGCGAGTCACTTCCCTGGGTAGAAAAGTTTGCAGAGCGCGCGGAAGAATTAACCGGTTCTCCTGCTCCGCCCCCCAGCGCCTAGGAGCCCGCCGCCCCAGAGCAGCGGCCGTGCCGCGCCCGTGCCCCCGCGCGCCACCCTGCCGGTCCCGCCATGTCCTACCCGCAGTTCGGATACCCCTATTCCTCGGCCCCCCAGGTAAGGAGGAGCCCCCGACGGCCTCGGGGGACGCAGCTGGCGCACCGATGCCCTGGCCCTGCCGCGCGACTCCGCGTCCGCGTCCCGTGCGTGCGTGGACATGGAGCGACTCCAGGAGGGCCAGGGCGCTGAAGAAATTTGCTTGGCGGGGTCCACGTCCCTGGCTGCTGGCCGCAAAGGGCTCCGAGGCTGCGCCCCAGTGCAGCCAGCGGACAAGGAGGCACTGGACTCTCCAAGGTTTCCTGGACCTTGTCGTCCTCCTTCGTTTACCCCAGGGCTGGGCCCCACGTGGCCCAGAAGACCTAGCGAGTGGGGTGCAGCGGGCAGCCCAGGGCCATCCAAGGGCAAGGCGTCAGCCTTCGCCCTTTTTCACGGCCCCTCTCTCCCCAGTTCCTGATGGCCACCAACTCCCTGAGCACGTGCTGCGAGTCGGGCGGCCGCACGCTGACCGAGTCCGGGCCCGCCGCCTCGGCCCAGGCGCCCGTCTACTGCCCAGTCTACGAGAGCCGGCTGTTGGCCACCGCGCGTCACGAGCTGAACTCGGCCGCGGCGCTCGGCGTCTATGGGAGCCCCTACGGCAGTTCGCAGGGCTACGGCAACTACGTGGCCTATGGCTCCGAGGCGTCCGCTTTCTACTCGCTGGTAAGGGGCGTCCCCAGCGCGCCCCCCATCCCACCCTGGGGTGCGGATCCCAGGCGCCGTCTGGTTGGGGGGCTCTCGGAACAGCCCCACCCCAGTTGTGACTCCCGGGGAGGCAAGTGGGCATTTTATGGAGCGCGGCGGGGAATGCTGTTACTGTTTTTCCTGGATTCGGTTGCGGCCACTGGTTCTGTCCGAGCGTGCGCGCGGCCCTGTTCCTGCCACCCCACCCCTTCCCCGCCCCGCCCCCAACCCTGTCCTTTCGGCCCAAGCCCCCCACCCCGCCCACCTACCCCGTCACCATCCTCCTGCGTGCCCCTCCCCACTCGTCGTCCTCCCCTCCTCCCCTGGATAGCACCCTCCACTCTGCGCGTTTCCGCTCTCCGTGGTCGGAGCCCGGGACTCGAACGCGGCTGGGGCGGAGACTGGAGGCGCGGGGGCGGGGCGGGCCGCGCGGGGGAGGCCGCCGCCGCCACCGGACTCCACTCCACAGAACAGCTTCGACTCCAAGGACGGGACAGGGTCTGCGCATGCGGGCCTCACGTCCGCCGCCGCCGCCGCCTACTACCCTTATGAGCCGGCCCTGGGCCAGTACGCGTATGACAGGTGAGGGGCCTGGGACGGGGCCTGTCCTGACTCCCACTCTGCCACTGCACTGCCAGCCGCCACCACTGTCGCTTCATCTGCCAGGGGCAGAGCAGGAAAGGGGGCCGCACTTGGGGTCAGTCCTCTGTGCTCCATCCCCTCCTGGCTTCCCGGTTTACATGCACCCCAGTGGCCCCTGCCCCTGACCCAGGGCCCTCGGGAACCCAGCAAGGCCCCACAGCGTCCCCAGTACGTTTCCCCCTGCCAAGCCCATGGCCCCTACAAGGAGGACCGTGGCAGAGGTGGTGGGGGTGGCCCCTCGGGACAGCCCTCCTGCCCCCGCTCCGGGCACCACCGCATAGTCCACCGCAGCTCCGAGGAGTGGATTTCGTGGGGCTCAGAAGCTACGGTGCTCCCCAGTCTGGTGCAGGGATCAAACGGGCAGAGACCCCCAAATTCACAGAATTCACAGAAAGGTCCCTTCAGTGAGAGCCGCGGCTCCCTCGTTTAGGTAGGGGTCCAGGCTAACTGTCCTCTGAAGAACAGCTTTGCCCTGGGCCACAGACGGCGGGGGACGCCTGGGGGCCCGAGCCCAGCCAGCCGCGCGCCCCTGGCCGGCGCCCCATTCTTGGGCTGTCTCCAGGTACGGGACCGTGGACAGCGGCACGCGGCGCAAGAACGCCACGCGGGAGACCACCAGCACGCTCAAGGCCTGGCTTCAGGAGCACCGCAAGAACCCGTACCCGACCAAGGGCGAGAAGATCATGCTGGCCATCATCACCAAGATGACCCTCACGCAGGTCTCCACCTGGTTCGCCAACGCGCGCCGGCGCCTCAAGAAGGAGAACAAGATGACGTGGCCGCCGCGGAACAAGTGCACCGACGAGAAGCGGCCGTTTGCTGAGGGCGAGGAGGAGGAGGGTGGCGAGGACAGCGCGCGGGACTCCCTCAAGAGCGCCAAGAGCGAAGGTGGGTGGGGCGGCCCCCAGGGTGTGGGGACGCTGGCCGGCGAGCACCCTATCCCACACGTCCGCAGCCAGGCTAAGCTGGACGCAGGGCAGGGGCTCCACCTAACCGGCCTCGCCCTCCGCTGGCCCCTGCCCGCTCTCCTCACAGACCCCAGCGGCAAAGAGGAGAAAGAGCTGGAACTCAGTGACCTAGAGGACTTCGACCCGCTGGAGGCCCAGACCCCGGAGTGCGAGCTGAAGGTGCCCTTCCAGCCCCTGGACAGCGGCCTGGAGCACGTCCCTGCCACGCCTGACGGCTCCAGCGCTCATGGCAAGGAGGCCCCGGACACGCTCCAGATGCCCCTGGTCAGCGGCGCCGCCGCCACCCTCGATGAGGACCTGGAGAGGGCCCGGAGCTGCCTCCAGAGTGGGGTGGCGGGCCCAGAGCAGCGGCCAGGCACCGAGGGCGGCCCACAGGCCTGCGACGCCAAGCTGGGCTTCGCACAGGCTGGGGCGCCTGCAGGCCTGGAAGCGAAGCCCCGCATTTGGTCCTTGGCCCACACGGCAACCGCCCTGAGCCAGACTGAGTTTCCATCCTGCATGCTCAAACGCCCAGGTCCCGCCACCCCTGTAGCCGCGCCCTCGCCTGTGGCCGTGGCACCCTCCGGTGCCCTGGACCGGCACCAGGACTCCCCCGTGACCAGTCTCAGAAACTGGGTAGATGGCGTCTTCCACGACCCCGTCCTTAGGCACAGCACTTTGAACCAGGCCTGGGCCACCGCCAAGGGCGCCCTCCTGGACCCTGGGCCTCTGGGACGCTCGCTGGGGGCGAGTACCAACGTGCTGGCGGCACCCCTGGCGTGCGCCTTCCCACCTGCGCATGAAGCCGCGGCCGCAGGCGCAGCCCGGGAGCTTCTCCCCACGCCCAAAGCCAGCGGAAAGTCCTTCTGCGCCTGACACTAGGGCCCGCACGCAGGCCGGAGACCCCAGGACCGAGGACAGTTTTACCAATTGTCCCAGAACAAACCGGAGGGCGGCCTGCTTGGCCGGCCGCCCACTCGAGAGGAAAGATCTGGACTCTGTCTCTTGGGACCACGGACAAGCCGCGCGCACGCTGCCAGGGCCTCTGATCCCACCTGGTCCAAGTCACCCCAGAAACGGTTGATCTGACGTAAAAGCGCGCACCACCCTTGGAGCGTCGGGTTTACGCGGGGAAGGCGCCAAAGTCCCCAAGCTCCCCTTTTGGCTCTGTTGGGCTTGAGGCATGCGGGATTCCCTAGGAGCCCTGGGCTGTCACCTCCCAATACTGTGCGCACGTGACCTAGTGACGTTTTCTACATATATGTTCACACCGGTAACAGCCCGCTTCCCGGCGGGCTTCTGTAACGAAAACCAATAAAACCTCGTGATGGTGCCCGCCGTGCGAAAGGGCCACGCGCGCCCGGACTGGCGGGGCAGGTGGGGCCAAGTCTCAAGGAAAGGGGGGCGGGGTTGGCTGGGGACGTCAGCCTCGCAGTGGAAGCTCAGGGGCTGCGGAGAGAGGGTTCGGGTCAGAGGAATCCGGAGTCAGAAGGCGCGTGCCAGACCCCAAACTGAAACCTGCTCCAGGACAGTTTTGAGGACCCAAAGGGCTGTGGGAGGGGCCTCTCTCCGTCCCTCCCCACTGGGCCACCTCGCCACACTGCGAGGTGGGAAGCCCAGACTTGGCAAGCTGGCCCCACCCAGTCCCTGTCCCCCACCAGCCCCGGAAGTGCACTGTGGCGTGCATTCCCACCTCCCAGGTCCCTGCTCGCAGGTGTTCTTGCCGTCCCCAGCAAGGCCAGAGGCCAGGTGGAAACCCTGGTCGGGTCAGAGCCTGGCGATGAGACCGCCTCCACGGAAAAGAGCCTGGGACTAGGGTGTGGAGCGGGGTGGGACCGGCCTGGAGCCTTGTGGGGCTCCGGGCTCCCCAGGAACGGCCCAGGCCCACCTGCCCACCCCCCCCCAGGGTGCGGCGGCCTGTTGGGGTCGCCCGGGGTCCCTGCGTGGGCGCCAACCCTGAGCCCCAGCAGCCGCGCGGTAATTGGATTGTAGCCGGGCCGCGCGCTGTCACCGTATCGACTTTGGCGCTCTTGGATGATATTATCGAGATCGGAAGCTCGCCGCTGATGCGCCTGTCAGAGGCTGCGGCGGGAGCCCCGGCCTGGCGAGCGCGCGTCAGCCAAGATAATTTGAAGTGAAATTTTCATTTTGACAGTAAAACCCCTCAATTTCTAAAGGCTGCGCGCGCCGAGCGCTGGCTGGCAGGGGAGGCTTTGCGCAAAATCCACGTCTTAGACTGAAAAGGGCAAAAGAACTCGAATTAGTTGTAATAGATAAAAGGGCAAAAATAAAGAGTCCAAGGGACTTGACAGCAATCGCGAAAGTGGAGTCTCCGGGGAGCCCGCCGAGGCCCGGGCGGGGCGCCGGGAATGTTAATGCGGCGAGCGCGCCCCCGCCCCGGCCCCAGACAAAGCCGCGCGCCTGCTGCTCCCAGGGGCGTCCTGGCCCCGGGCCCCCCGCTGCCGCGGGCAGTGCAGAGGGCGCGTGAGAGCGCGGGCCGGGGTGCGGGGCGCGCGGCTGGCTTCCCCGATGCAGGGGAGGGGGAGCTCCAAGGACCGCCCTCGCAGGTCTCCGTGGGCACCCCCCAGGCGCCCGGACCCCCGCAGCCCCGGGTCTAGGAGCCCTCTGCGGGCGGGAGCGCGGGGCTGGCTGCACTGGGAGACCTCAGCCGCATCCCGGGGGCCCCACCCTGCGTCCGGGGGTCGCGGCCCCCTCCCGGATCCGCGCAGGCCCGCGGGGGAGCAGGGTCGGGGTCACACGCGGCCCGCCAGCGTGGCGGCCGCTCCCCTCCCCGCGTGCGTTCAGGCGTGGCGAACGCGAGCACGCCGAGCGGGCGGTGAATTAACGGCGCTTCGTACCAGGCGCCCGCACAAAGCCGCAATCAGCCGCGCGTTACTTTTCATTAAGCCGGCCTGACAGCAGCGCGGGCGGGCGCGCCCCGCAGCCGCGCGGGAAATATACGGCCCTCCCGCACGCCCGGCGCGGCCCAAGCTCCATTAACGCCGTAGCCGCGGGAAACGGCTGCGGAAACGGCTGCGATCTGAAAGCTTTATCGACCCTCGGACTGCGCTGACGGCTCCATTTTTTTCTTTTTTCTTTTTTCCCTCCCCCTCTCCCCGTCCACTTTTTTCCCCCTTCCTATTAACTTAAGGAAGCGCCGTCCAGCGGGCGGACGGCGGGGGTCTGAGCCCCGCAACTGCCTGACCCACAGAGGGGACCAAGCACGCAGCCACAGCCTGGCCAGCCCCGCGTCCCCGCTCTCCCTTCTCCCCCTCCCTCCTTCCCGCCCTCCCTCCACCCCCGCCCCTCCCACGGGTGACTGAGGAAGGGCGGCCCTGCTCTCAGTTCCCTCAGGACTTCACGGGCTCGCCACCCTGGGCTCAGGCTCCGTGTGGGCCAAGGCGTCAGCTGTCCACTAGCACAGCCTTTCCTGGCACCCAACTGAGGACCTCTCCCACCCCAAACCCTCCCCCTCGTCAGACTCCAGACAAGGCTGGGCAAGGCCTCCCACCTCACCTGAGGGGGTTGCAAGCCTTCGCCCAGGGCCGGGGGCCCCAGAAGGTAAGAGGCCAGGAGGAAAAGCGCCGTGGGTTTGACCCCAGAACAGGGTGTCTGCCTCCAGACACAGCCAAAGTCAATGCGTAAATGACCACGCATTCAGAAGGTAGACACAGGCCACGGCAAGCCTGGGATGGGGGAGGCCAAGCGTGTCTCCCTGGACAAGTGCGCTGCACCGGGGAGAGACACCCACAGGTCTACTTTTTCCCTGGGGTTCCTGGCTCCGCTGCAGACAGGGAGTGTGCAGGAGCCCAGGCTGCTGGGGACTGGCAGGGAAGGGAAGACAGCTGCCAGGATGGGGGAGTTGGTGCAGCAAAGGACGGCATCTGCTGGACAGGGCAGAGGGGTCAGAGCTGAGCCAGCAGAGTGAGGACCACTCACCGACGAGCTCACATTCCTGAGCACGGGGTTGAGGGCAGCCCACTCTGGGTGTGGGGCCAGGCTCAGGGACACACAGTACACACATGTGCACCGCACGCTGTATACACGCTCTCCTCCCACACACACTCCGCACACGCCCACACGTGCGCTTGTATACATAGCACCACAGGGGCCTGCAGAGGTTTACGTGTGCCCTCACCACAGTGGAGCCCCCAGTTGGGCAGCAGGTCAGAGGCCCCCCCGGAAGGAAGCATGGGCCTGCACCTGCAGCAGCACCCCAGGGTGGGGGAGAACAGAGCAGGGGGCCTACAGGGTGCAGAGTGCAGGTGTGGCCTTCCCGCCAGGTGGGGCAGCTGGGCTGGCCACGCAGGGGTAGCAGCCAGGTGCAACAGGGCAGGTGCACTGCCACATGCAGGAAGCCCCAGCAGCCTCGGCAGCCACATCTACACTGACTCCACACCCCACAGCCCACTCACCGCCTGCCTGCAGCAAGACGCTGGGCTGCTTCCTGTCCCACCTGCTGCTCTCCCTGGCCCTCACAGTGGGGCCGTTCCAGGGCACCCATGGCTTGCCCATGTACTTGCTCTGCAAATGGGGTCTTAATTAATGCAATTGGTAGTGGAGAGTCTTCATGGCACATTAGCCAAGTTCCAGATAATCCGGCTGAATGCGCTCCAGTATGCAATGGGACTCGCCTGGGGCAGGGGACATACGGAAGCAAACAGGTGGCCAGCACCAGCTATATGTGGGGCTGGGAGACACTGGGCCATGCTGCTGTGGGAGGGGCTCCTGGTGTGCGAGCATCTGCTGAGGCCGCGGGCCTGGAGTCACTCCTCCCTCTGCTGTGCCCGTCCAGCGAGAAGCCCCATGGGGTGGGGCACCATCCTGGGCCTGTGGCAGGTCGTAGCTCCCTCAGGGTCCCTTGGAGAGAGGCGGTGAGGACGAGCCCAGGGTCCCACCGGGTGCTGCTGGGGGCCCTGGAGAGTTTGTGGCACTTCCTGTTGGTAAGTTTTCAGGTGGATGCTGCGGGGGAGAGGTGGAGGGGCAGCTGAGCCCCCAGGAGCCAGGGATCCTGCAGGGGAGAGGTGGAGGGGCAGCTGAGCCCCCAGGAGCCAGGGATCCTGCAGGGGAGAGGTGGAGGGGCAGCTGAGCCCCCAGGAGCCAGGATCCTGCAGGGAGAGGTGGAGGGGCAGCTGAGCCCCCAGGAGCCAGGGATCCTGCAGGGGAGAGGTGGAGGGGCAGCTGAGCCCCCAGGAGCCAGGGATCCTGCAGGGGAGAGGTGGAGGGGCAGCTGAGCCCCCAGGAGCCAGGGATCCTGCAGGGGAGAGGTGGAGGGGCAGCTGAGCCCCCAGGAGCCAGGGATCCTGCAGGGGAGAGGTGGAGGGGCAGCTGAGCCCCCAGGAGCCAGGGATCCTGCAGGGGAGAGGTGGAGGGGCAGCTGAGCCCCCAGGAGCCAGGGATCCTGCAGGGGAGAGGTGGAGGGGCAGCTGAGCCCCCAGGAGCCAGGGATCCTGCAGGGGAGAGGTGGAGGGGCAGCTGAGCCCCCAGGAGCCAGGGATCCTGCGGGGGGGCTGACAGGCTGGGGTTCCTCCCCAAGTGGCCTGGCTGCCAGCCCCCATTGCACAGCCTGGGCTCCACCCTGCCGCCAGGGTCCTTGTTCTGTTCTTGATTTCCTCCCTCAACTGCTCTCACCGGGGCTGGCCAGGTGATAGCAGCACTCCTGAGACTTCTCCCCTGGTTCTCTGGTGGGCGGGGCAGGCCCAGGGGTGCGTCTGGTCATGGGTGAGGCAAGGCCCCCCATTTCTCTCCATGTGCTACAAACTACACATTTCCCAGTCTCTCCACTTGCCGGGTGATGGCACAGGACTCCCACACACTGGTTTTCACGTTCCCCATTTCTGCCTTAATCCATGCACTTATGGGCACGAGCTGCACCT